TTATTATTAATTTTTGAGCTGTGGATGATGACCTAAATACTGACTCAGCAAAGTACACAAGAAGGTTGCCTTTGCTCCAGTTTCTGGCAATATAGAGTGTGAGTAAACATGCACGCACACACACACACTCACACACACACACACACACACTCACACACACACTCACACACACACGAAAATGATTTGTGCTGGAGATTTCTTTTCATGGAAGCAGGGTTATAACTATCTCAGAAGGTATTTAGACATTTTCCCAGAGGTCTATGAAGCAGCCTGTAGATTTTTGCCCTTCTATCCCAGAGTTACCAACTCAACCCCTATGTGTAATGGCTTGGTGGCTTCATGGGGTTTTGCACTTCTTTGTGGAGAGGTTTTCCTCCCTGTGGAAAGTCTCCTTTTCTTCAACCATTTTCTAGTAAGATTACCCTTCAGACATTAGTTTCTCTTTGCTTTGGTTGCTGTTGTTGCTTTCTAGCAGTTCTTCATTTAATTCTACTTACAGTGCTCTTAATATTAGATTAAATTCATTTCTTATACCTTTAACCGCACATAGAGTTGCTCAGTTCTTCCTTACAGGAAAGTTCCAAATAGTTGTTGGAGTTAATTTTGATTTCTTTCAAAATAATTCCCTGCAAAGGGTTTGGAGTTATATGTTTTCTTTTCCATCCTCCCCACTGTGTGAGCCTGCTGTTGGGCAGGAAGCTAGCTCTCTTCTCTCAGGGAAACAGCTTGGATGAAAGACTGGCACGTTCCCTGTTGATTCCCATATGCGTTCCCTTGGCTCCTCTTATATAAAAAAAGTGGGCAGCATCTAAATGTGTCTTTTTTATTTTGTTGTCTCTTTGCATAAAGCATATCTTGTGAACACAGAAATACTCATGTAATGGTTTTCTCTTTTAGTCATCTCTTGAAATTACTTGAGTAAAATACAGATAGTGGAGGGGAGGGACCATGTGTGCAAAGGCCCAGAGGCTGAAAAGCCAGGGCAGAGCTGGAGGGAGAGGCAGGGAAAGGGCAAACACAAGGGAAATTCAAGGGGAAAGCTGTGTTCTGTACTGGCCTAGTTACAAGGACCTGCACTTACAAGGACCTGCACTACAGCCAGAATTCTCCAGCTGTGCAGAAATAAGCTTTTATAAAGGAACCAAAGAAAGGGAAAAGAGGAAGGAAACAATTTGAATTGGTTTTTCAGATAGGGAACTAGTGGGAAACTTAAGAGCAAGAAACATCCCGTTTCCTGTTTATGGTAAGTGAATGTGGGTGTCTAAGTTGATCAGAAAGAAGGGACTTCAGGGTTTCCCTTCTTTCTTTAGAAAGGTTGGGAGGAGGAATTTCTGAAAGGGGGAAAGGGCTAGCTAGGAGAAGGGAGCCAGATAGCATTTATTGCAGTATGAAGATTGCAAACCCTACTGACTTGACCATGTAGGTAACTAGAGGATATTTCTCTTACCCTTGGGATGCCATGTTGATTTGAGTGAAGGGCTTCTGAGTAATTTGTCTATGTTGGATCATCGAGGGAGGGGAGGTGTATAGTGCTTGGTAATTGATACTGATTTTTGTTGCTGAGGGTATTTGTCTAAGTGATGCATTCTCTTGCCTTTGACTTCGATAGATTATTCTTTGGGCCTGAAGGACTTGATCATTTCCTCCCCTGAGCTAACAGTTCATGTGGGTGATTCGGCTCTGATGGGATGTGTCTTCCAGAGCACAGAAGAGAAACGTGTGACTAAGGTAGACTGGATGCTGTCACCAGGAGAGCATGCCAAGGTAACGAGGAGGAAATGTCATTGGGTAGTAGAAGCCCTGGGCTTATGGTGTCAGGACAGAGGGAATGAGGGATTTTGGAGCTTGTCAGAACTAGGCCTTGGGGCTGGCTGGTTAGCTCAGTTGGTTGGAGCACAGCCTTGTAACATCAAGGTCGAGGGTTTGGGTCTCCATACTGGCCAGCTGCCAAAAAAATAAGGAACTAGGCCTCTGCCTAGTTTGGCCACTTGGCTGTGTAATAAGTTGGGAATGCTAAGCTTCAGCCTCCTGATCTCTGAAGAGGAAGGTAGTTATGATAATAGTAATGCTTAACTTTCAGGTAGCTAAGGGGCTGATGGGAGACATGTGCATGAAGTTCTTTTAGTTTCCTTCATCTGTCTCCTGCCCTTTGTAAAGTAGCATAGATGGGTGAGAGGGGCAATTCCCCTGGTCTACTGAGAAGAGCTCTGACCTAGGCTTAAGATTATTGTCACAATTATTTTTTCGGCAGTGGTGGGAGGCAGAGGGGCAGATTCTTTCAGTATTCTACCGCCCCTTTATGTGCAGAGAAGTCTTTTCCTCCTTTGAGGCTGCTTGAAGTATTGGGATTAGCAGATGCAGCATGGCTGGTGAGGGTCTTTCACGGAGCTCTTTGGAGTAAGAAACAGTGTATTAAGCCTCATTAGAGATTCTGTGGAGACACTGGTATGTCAGGTGCATTTGTGAAATATGTCCCAAGCCCAACACTGGCAAAAGAAATATAACAGAGCATATTCTGTCTTATCCCTATAATGCTACTCTCACTCAAATTTTTATTACTTTTTTTTATTATAAGAGGGATGTATACCTGTGGTGTAAGTAGAAATAAGAACTCCCCCAGGCTCCCCCTCTCAGCCTGTAGCCATTTCCTGCCATTTCTTCTTTTGTGTTATGCTGTGTTGCTCCGAGGAGGGTGGCAGCCAGAACGCCAGGCTGGGGGTTCTCGTCCTGACACCAGCTCACACCAGTGGCATTAGATCATGCATTTGAATGCTGTCTAATCTGGGGGCCATGGCAGAAAACAGGGTGAAAGTGACAGATGGTTTTCAAAAGTTTTGAGTTTGAAACCCCAGAGTGATCTTCAGAGTGGGTGTTACATTTTATCTTAAACTGTAAGAAATAAAAATGTGTGGACTGTATTCTCCATTTGTTTTTGTAGAAAGTGAATCACAGAGCCTTGTGCAAGTCAGAATATTGCCTGACACATTTATTAACTGGGTGGCAAGTACCTTTTGATCATGACGACAGCGGTGATCAGTGTGCTGCCTCCATGTGACAGGGTCTGTTGCATCCAGACTCCTAGGTCTGGCACCTCTTATGATTGTCTCCAACACTGTGTGGCCCTACAGGATGAATATGTGCTGTACTATTACGCCAACCTCAGTGTGCCTATGGGGCGCTTCCAGAACCGTGTGCATTTGGTGGGGGACTTACTACACAATGATGGTTCTCTCTTGCTCCAAGATGTGCAAGAGGCTGACCAGGGAACCTATACCTGTGAAATCCGCCTGGAAAGGGAGAGCCTAGTGTTCAAGAAAGAAGTGGTGCTGTATGTGCTACCAGAGGAGCCCAAAGGTACGTGAATGCTCACTTAGAGGGACAAGAGATTTGATGTCCAAGAGGTAAGGGAACTGATTTTGTTGAGCAAACGCCAGCTTTGGGCTAAGTACTTACCACAGAGTGAGTTTTCAATAAATGACAGTAATTATTTTATTAAATAAAAATAATGATGATTATTTTGTTATTACTTTTTTTTTTTTTTAAAAGATGACCGGTAAGGGGATCTCAACCCTTGGCTTGGTGTTGTCAGCACCACGCTCAGCCAGTGAGCAAACCGGCCATCCCATATATGGGATCCGAACCCGTGGCCTTGGTGTTATCAACACCGTACTCTACTGAGTGAGCCACAGGCCGGCCCAAAATTATTCTTATTATTTTTTTTTCCTTTTTGTCTTTTTTCGTGTCCGGCAATGGATCGCAACCCTCGGTGTTGCTCCCACACCTCGCTCAGCCAGTGAGCGGGAACCGGTCTGTATGTGGGATCCGAACCCTCGGCGGGAGCGCCACCGCGCTCCCAAGTGGTGCACTGTAGCAGTGCGCCACCGGGCCGGCTGTTATTACTTTAAACATGTTCCTCATGAAAACCCTGTGCAGGATGTATTGTTCTTTCCATCTTACAGATGAGGTAACTGAGGCTTAGAGAGGGTAAGTGACTTGACTACGGCACATATTTGTTCAATGGCTTAACTTGTAATTGAACCCTGATAACTTGGCGCCTCTGATAACAAAGTCCATGTTGTTTTTACTACACTGTCATACTTCCCATCGGTTATTCACATTGGTGTTTATGTTTTATAGTTACCTGTGTTAGCTGTGCTGGGGGTTTTATAAAAGAAATGAGCAGATCTCTCTAACTTCTTTGCACCTTATTTTTCCATCTATAAATGGAGGGAAGAGCTTCAGTAGATTAGTGGTTTTAAAATTGTGCTCTATAGAACCCTGAAGCTCCTGAGGCAGCACAAGGGTGAGAACAGGGCAGACGGGGGGTTGGGCGAAGACCTAGCAGATAGGACCCCGGGCTTTCACCTCTATTGCACCCACAGTCCTTATCCTTTTTCCTATTTTATTTATTGAGCTGCCAGGTAATATTTTGTTTGAAGAAAGGATTTTGCTGTTTTGAAACAGTTTGAAACGGAGAGTATGAGCTGTGGCAGCCCGAGTCATGGCAGAACAGGCATTTAGAAAGTTTCTTTCCTTCTTTGAGTATTGGTTGAAAGGAATGCAGCCAGGACTGTAACCCAAGGAGGCACTATGCTTCTAGAAAAATCTCAAGGAAAAGTGTTGGAAGCAACAGTACTGGCTGTTGGATCAGGCTTTGAAGGGAATGGTGGAGAGATCCCTCCAGTTAGCTGAAAGCTGGAGGTAAAGTCCTTCTTCCAGAATGTGGAGGCACCAAAGTAGTTCTAGATGACAAGGATCATTTCTCATTTAGAGATGGTGACATGCTTGGAAAGTGTGTAGACTGAAATACATCAGTACTGACTGAAATGGCATCACATGAAGCCGCCCATTCCACTGAAGTTCTGACACCCTTCCTCACGTACATAATTTCCATGTCTCTTTTATAATAAACTAATGATATTCAAACTGATGACATCCGGTGTCCCTAAAATTTAGTTTCACTGTATTGATATAAACATTTTCAAATAAAAATATGTAAATGAAAAAAAAAATGTTTGAAAGCCACAGAACTTGATGCATTCTTTAAGAGTGTGGGATAGAAGGAATAGTCCCTGGCCTCAGGAAATCTTGTAATCTAGTTAGGGAGCTAGAATCTGGGGCTCCTCTTCTCCTGCCAGCTAGCTGCAGTCCTTAGCTACGCAGCTCTGTGAATGAGCTCCTCCAGAGCACCCTGCCTTCCTCTTTTGTGACACTCATCACACCTGTTCAGTTGCATCTCCCTGCTCACCTGGGTCTATGTTTTTTGTTCCCTGACCAGCCCTGAGTACAGTGCCTGGCACAGAGAAAGCAATCAATAAACATTTGTCAAATGAATGAAATTCTTGAATTAGTGTCCACCACATGAATCTGATTTCTAAAAAATAGTGTGGTAGAAGGTGGCCTTTGGCCCCTCTCTTAATGTTTCCTACTTTTTAAATTGCCATTTTTCTCTTAATTCCAAAGCTGTGGTTCTCCAGGAAGAAGGAGCAAATTAGATGCCTGTGTTCTCCCAGGATTCTCTTTAAGCTTCCCCTCTCTGCCTTTGGTCACTAATGCTGTGCCTGAACACTTGTCTATACAAGCATAGCCTACAGAATGGGTACCTTTTCCTGCTTAGAAGAAACGGAGAGAGTACCAAATGGAGCCAATTCCAAGAGTTGAAAAAGCCATGGAGACAAGCTGGAACAAAGTTAGGGTAGTCAGATATTTCCTCAGTAGCTGGTGGTGCAACCTGTATGTATTTTCCTTTCCAGCCAGAATGGAAATAGATCCAACCCCTTACAATTTTGCCTAAGGCCCAGTGGAAAGTTGTTCAACTTGCTATGTGGAGGTTGTCCCCTCCCACATGGAAATTCCATTTTTGTGGTCATCAATAACTTTTTCTACAAAGTTTACAATTTCTCTGTCATTTTCCTACTTCAATTCCTTTTTTGATGGTTCTTATTTTAAACACTATAGATAAGAGCCGGCCTGTGGCTCACTTGGAAGAGTGCGGTGCTGATAACACCAAGGCCATGGGTTCAGATCCTATATAGGGATGGCTGGTTAGCTCACTGGCTGAGTGTGGTGCTGTCAACACCAAGGGGGTTAAGATCCCCTTACCAGTCATCTTTTAAAAATAAATAAATAAATAAATAAATAAATAAATAAATAAATAAATAAATACTATAGATAAAAATAACAATAATCTTAACTTCCTTTACTTTTGCTCTAGAATTAGCCATTCTTCTACTTATGTGAGGCGGTACAGTATAGTGCATGAGAGAACGTGGGCTTTGATTTCAGTCAGGCCTGGGTTTGAGTGCTGGCTCTACCTTTTACTGGCTATGTGGCTTTGAGCTCTTTCACCTTCCTCCTCTGTAAAATGGGAGAGTAATAGTGCATACCTCAAAATGTAATGACTAACTGATACACTGTGTATAAGGTGTCTAGCACATGACTGGTACATTGAAAGGACTCAGAATGTTCATTAGAGCTGGCCGGTTAGCTCAGTTGGTTAGAGCATGGTGTTGATAACACCAAGGTCAAGGGTTCAATCCCTGTTAATGGCCAGCTACCAAAAAAAAAAAAAAAAAAAGAAAAAGAAAGTTCAGTTATCGCATATTTAAAATAGAGATCAGTTCTTAATGTGCTGATGGATTTAGAGGGAGATTCCTTCCCTACTGTTATTCTTTGGAGTGAATTTTTATTACTTCCAAAATAATTTCCTCCATAGAGTTTAGAGTTCAGAATATTTTTTTTTTCCTTTCCTCCCATCATGCATCTCTCCTGCTGGGCAGGAAGTTAGTGTTCTCCCAGGGAAACAGTTCAGATGAAAGGTCAGCTTGCATGCTGGGTTTGTTCCCTCACAAGATTTGCTGAACACTCTTTTGAAGGAACTCTGTCAAGTTAAGACCTAGGCTTGTATCTTCCTATATACCATCCTACCTTGCATTTCTTAATTAATTTTGTAGTTGATTTGTGTAGAGCATTATTGAAAAATCAGGAACATCTTTCTATGTGTTTTCTTTTTCAGGGAACTCTTGAAATGACTTATGCAATAAACATATGATGGGTCAGCTGCTTACACAAATAGTTGGAAGGAAAAACTTAGGAGCCAGAAAGCCAGATGCAGGGGAAGGGGGATTGAGGATGAGAGGGGCAGGACTGAAACAGAAAAAAAAGTCAAGTGGAAAGCTCTCTACTGTCTTGACCTAATTAGCAAGGAGTCTTGTGACCTGTACTGAAGCCAGAACTAAGTCCTAAGCAAGTCCTAAGATAACTTGTAAAAAGAATGAAAGAAGTTGAAGAAAGTTACCCATGATTCATTTTTTTCAGTTATAAGAACTGGTGGGTTAGATCTAAGAATGAGAGTTTTATAACTTTCCACTTCCTGTTTATGCTAAGCAGGTGTGGGTATCTAAGTTGATGAACAGAAAGTGAGGGCTTTGAGATTTTCTGTACTTTCTTTAGTACAAACTGACATGAAGTTGGAGTTCATGGTAGAAATTTTGGAAAGGGGAAAAAGAAGGGAATTAAAGGGAACCAGAAAGTATTTACTTCAGTACGAAGACAGCAGAAACCCTCAGAGTTGCCATATGTGGGCACTTACAGGGTATTCTCTTACCCTTGAGGATTCCGTGTTGGTTTGAGCAAGGGGCCTCTGAGTACTTTGTCTACACAGAATCATCTGGATCATCTATGGAGGGGATATGTACAGTGTTTGGTGGTGAGGGTGATTTTTGCTGCTGAGGGTCTTTGGCTAAATGTGATCCCTTTTAGAAATTTTTTTGACTTCTGTAGATTATACCTTGGGTCTGACTTGATTTACTGTTTTATCCCCAGAGCTCATGGTCCATGTGGGTGATTCAATTCAGATGGGATGTGTTCTCCAGAGCACGGAAGAGAAACATGTGACCATGGTAGACTGGATGTTCTCTTCAGAAGAGCGTGCCAGGGTAACAAAGAAGAAACACTGCTGTGTAGTACAAGCCCCTGGTTGCTAGTGTCAAGACAGAGCAGGGAGAGGGAGACTCAGTTCATCTAATGCCATGAGGAGGGTGGTGTAGCAAGATCTTGGGTTTTGGAGCTCAAAGAACTGAGCCTCATCCTAGCTCAGCCATCTGGCTGGGCAATTTCAGTTTCCTGGTGGGAAAGATGTCTCTAATGATGAAGAAGATGATCATGGTGATGATGCATTACTTTTAGGTTGTCAAGATGCTGATGTGAGATTGTATATGTAAAGCATTTTGTACGTGACTTGGCCACTGCATTTTAGTTTACTTCCTTCTCCCTTCTCTTCTTAGAGTCCATGGGAGAATGAGGGGGTTGGTTTTTGTGGCCTAGCCAAGAACGCTACGGGCTAGGCATAAGAATGATTACATTCTTACTTTGGTTAGTATATGAATTTTTGTTCGTGCTCCATTGTCCCATTTATGTGATGGAGGGAATTTTCTTCATCTTTATGCGTGCTTTAGATGTTAGGATTGATAGGTCCTGGGGGCCAGGGCGAGGGGTATTTCATGGGAACTCTGTAAAGCAGTAAACTGAAAGCAAGTTCACTAGACCAGTAGACCTCAACCATGGCATGGTGTTGTATTTATGAGTCCAGATGTGTTGTGAGGGACAACCCAGGTGACTTGTTCTTAATAAAAGTTAAGGTAAAAAGTTTATAAATGATTTAACTTTTATAAATTAAAACATATTCCAGGCCATCCCTCTCACAAAGTCATTTACACTCATTTGATTCCTATTTGAGTAGGTAAGAAATGCTCCATCCTTGTGGAGCACCAGGAATTATATGTAGTCCCAGATTCACCCCTGAGGGCTTGTCATGCATTTAAATGTCATCCATCAAATGATTCACAGCAGAAAATAGGATGAGAGTTGACATTTTGAGGTTGTGAATTTGAATCACAAGAGACAAGAGGTTATGGGCCAGGTTTCTCCATTTATGTTGGTGTCTGTATACTCATTACTCTTTCTTAAAAGCTTTTTAAAAAT